TGATTTTATAATGGACCTGTCTTTCTTCTTTTATTTCCAGTCACTGACATGATTTCTATTTCAAGCAAAGGCTTTTTCCTCTATTCCCTCAAATCTGCTCTGACCCCTGGCTTCTGCTTTTTCCACAAGCGCTCTCTAAACTCTTAGAGCCTTGAACCTTAAGCTAACCCACTGGGTCTTCAAATCTTGAGGTAAATACACAGGAATTATCTCTCTGAGTCATTCCCTATCTTAGACCCCCCCAGATCTGGGTTCAGAAGCCCCCACCACTAAGCTTTTCCCAAAATCTCTAGTGAGGCACCAAACTTCTTTACCACAGACCGCTGTCTAAAAGAAAAATTCAAGAAAAAATTCTTGAAAAAATTCAAGAAAAATTCTCTTTAAACTCAGGCTTGACTGGATTTCTTCGTATCCCACCGCTGGACACCAATTGTGGCGTTCACCCCTCATGCCCCTGCCTGACTCTCCAAACGCAGAGCACATGAAGGCAAATACAGTACTCCTTTCTACCTGCTGCCACCAGTTGATCACTAAATCAACTTTAATGATGGAAGGATGAAGATGAAGGTCTAAACTTCACTGTCTTTTAAAAAGAATGTTTATTGATTACAGATGTTTGATTATTAATCATAGGTAACTTCTATTATTATCAGTCTCAACTTCTATTTGTCATAACAGTTCTTATTCACTCTTCACTCTAATCACACCTCAGATCTCCCAAATACCACTCTCTATCTCTCCACTCTCTCACTCTGACTCACTGACTCCCTCTCTGACTCTTTATTACATATCTCTCGGCTCCGCCTCTTAGCAACATTAGCCTGCAACATGAATATGCATGACTACTACATAATAATGGTGAACACTACACTTGGTTTCCAGACCCCTGATCATCCTTGTTGCCCTCCTCTGAACTTACCCGTTTGTTGGTATCATTCATAAAGTGCAGAGTCCAGAACTGGATACAGTACTCGATATGAGCCCTAACTAGTGCTGAATAGAGGGGGACTGGTACCTTGTGGGATTGGGAGAATATACTTCTTTTAATTCATCCAAAATTAGCATTTGCCTTTTTTGTAGCCACATCATACTGTTGGCTTATATTCAGCTTTTGATTTACAACAAATCCAAGATCCTTCTTGCTTGTAGTATTACTGAACCAAGTATTCGCTATCTTGTAATTGTGTGTTTGGTTCCCCCCCAGGTGTAGAACTTTGCGCTTATTCCTGTTAAATTTTATTCTTTTGTTTTCAACCCAATGCACAAGCTTATCAAGATCTTTTTGAATTTTGTTCCTGTCTTCCAAGGTACAGTATTTGCTATTCCACTCAACTTTTTGTTATCTGCAGATTTGATAAGTATTCCCTGCACTCCCTCATCCAAGTTGTTAATAAAAATGTTGAAGAGCCCTTGTGGTACCCCACTTCTTCCCTGCTCCCACTTTGAGAAGGAGCCATTGATAAGCACTCTCTGAGTACGATTCTGTAACCAACTTTCTATCCAGCCCACACCTAGTGTTAGTTTACTAATCAGAATACCACGGGGCACTTTGTCAAAGGCTTTGCTGAAGTCAAGATACAGTATATCTACAGCATTCCCACCATCTACCAGGGAGGTTAACCAATCAAAAAATGAGGTAAGATTAGTCTGGCAGGATTTGTTGTTGACAAATCCATGTTGGCTGCTAGTTATTACTGTATTGTTTTCAAGGTGCTTGCAGAGTGAGTACTCCAGAATTTTCCCTGGGACTGATGTTATTCTGACTTGTCTGTAGTAACCTGGTTCCTCCTTGTTGCCTTTTTTGAAGATAGGGTTGTTAGCCCTTCTCCAATTATCCTGTTGTTAGATTACAAGAATTTCAGTACATGTTGCTAATGACACTGCTAAGTAAACAACAACACAAAATATTGGCCTTTTTGTTCTTGTTGAGTTATAAAACAATCTTATACCACCTGGCAGTTTTTTCTGTGGGGCATTTTGATGAGCTGACACACCCTTTTCAAAGAGGATCAGAAATCTGTCAATATTTGTTACCTCCTTATTCTAGACTAGTTACTGTCAGCAGCATTATTATAAGAAGTAGTGGCTTGGGCTAAAACATATTTATTTAGTCAAAATAAGACTAAGTGACCAGCAATTATTTTATTTATTTATTCAATTTATATGCCGCCCACACTACCCAGAGGTCTCAGAATTATGAGGGGAGGATATTCTGAAATGCCTCCCTGAAAAGCAGAGTTTTAATGTACTTCCTGAATATTAGGAGGGAAGAGGCTTAGTGAACCTCCACAGGTAAAGGATTCAAGAAGGAGGTGACCACCACTAAGAAGACCTGGTTCTTAGTTGTAGACTTCCTGACCTCCCTCAGCGTGGCCACTCACAGCATCAGTGCTCCGAGGTGCAAGTGGCATAGGAAGCTGATCTTGGGGAGATGTGCTCTGATAGGTATGGAGCCCCCAAACTGTTATAAGTCATCACTAGTACAGTACCTTGAATTTGGCATGGAAGCAAACTGGCAGCCAATGCATGTGAACCAGGTCTGGGGAAATACAATTATATCTTGAAGTTCCCGAAATTAGCCTGGCTGTCACATTTTCTACTTGCTGCCGCTTCCATGCTGCCTTCAAGTGCAGTCCCATATAGAGAGCATTGCAATAGTCAAGCCTCGAGACTACCAATATATGAGCTACTGTTAACAGGGACTTCCTACCTTGGCAGGGTCTCAAATACACATTCTGCCTAAAATGAAAAAAGGCAGACCTGGCCAGAGCCAAAGTCTCTTTTCTCCATCAAAAGGGCTAGGTCCAGAAGCACACCCAGATTAGGAACCTCTCTTTGAAGGTTTCCTGTATGGTTCCCTTGCACTGGCTCTAGATTTGCCAACAATCTATTGCTTTTACTGGCACAACCTGTAAAACACAAACAGTAGACCCGTTTTCTGGTAGATAACCAATAATATTGTCTGAAAATGTGAGCGCTGTTCTGAAATATTTTTCTTTTGCTCAATTTTCTGGTTTGGGCAGTTCCTGCCCTGCATCTTTATGAAGAGATACTATTTATTAACTAAAGCTGCTGGCATTACACCCTTCCCTATTCATTCCTGCAATGTACGGACAGTTTTGTGGCCCACTGTGCCATGGGAGTAGGAACTGTTGGCTGGCATACTAGGGTCAATCCACACTCACTGCCCAGTACCAAGATCTAGGTGGGTGGTACAGTGCTGCAAATCATCACAGTGCAACAGCACAGCTGCTCTTGTCAGGATCATAAACAATGCATATGTTATATTTTGGTATTGGGATGGCAACATGTCGTTCTTACTATTTAAAATTACTGTATGTAATGTACTTGTAGGCCAGCAGATACTATTTATTAAGTGGGTTGTGTACTCCTGTATTAATTTAACAGAGACAACACTTTACAGGTGCAAAGTTAGATTAATCAAAGCCTGTCATCTGCTTAGAGGGCTACTTGCCAGCTTTATTGTTAGAAATAGGTTGGGTCTGCTGTCTTAGCAAGGCTAATGGAAACTTTTATAAGATGAGATATTGAGCAGATACTTACGCAAGTAATTTGCAAGCATAGCAAAGTTAGCTGATGGTTGACAAGAACTGATAAGAACTATAAATAACTGTCTGGGAGTGTTAGTAACAGGAGGGAGTACATCTGCTAGGGACAGACTGCTAGGATGATGGTGGTGGGAAGAATGCATTCTCTAAATTTTGGTTGATGTGATTATGTTTGCTTGTATTTTGGATTTGTTAAGTTCAGTAATTTGATTATATCTTGTTAACCGATAGTCTTTAACTTAAAGAATCCTGAAGCATTTCATCTTAGACAAAGTTGCATTAATTCATTTTTTATCATTGTACTTAGCCATGTAAATACAGATTTTTTAAGAAGCAATTCACTTGCAGCTTTGAGTATGTTTGTAGAATTAAAAAAGAAGGAAAACCAGAGATTTTTTTGAAAGTCAGCCTATCAATCTTGTTGGGGAAAACAATTTAAAATATATCCAACATGAAAAGAAAAAGGTTACATAAAGTGTAAAATTTCATTCTAGAATTAACCCTTTATTGGGATAATGCCAGCTGTGAAGAACACAAGCTTCTGATTTTCTTCCTGGAGGTCTATTAAGTTTTGTAGGACTCTTAGGGAAGTCTCGGGTGTTCAATTCTATAACCTGATACCCTAATCCTGCACTTGTTTGCAAACACAGTTGCTTGCAGGGCTGCATTATTTCAGAGCAACCTACCATCTTGATACCCGAAGCCAGTTCTCTTGAAATTAGTGCTTAATGCCTAAAACAAGATTTAAGAGGCTGGTTTCTCTACAGTGTGTGAAGCTTCTCCTTTAGCTATCCAAGCAACTAGAGATAATGGCTACTGTGCAGAATGGTTGGTGGCAGCTTAGTTAACGTGTGGCATGTCCCAGTAGGTCTGGGTTTGTCACAATTTCCTCTCCTTTTTTTCATGTTTTAATAATTATAAGCTCTAAAATGGGTGTGAAGCTTCAGCCTTTGGAGCTGAATCCCACACACCTGGGGTCCTTAGTGATCCTCTAGCTTTCCCCAGATGACCACATACATTTCCCATGGCCCCATCATTAGGTGGCTTCCCATACTACTGCTTTCCCCTTCCAAATGTGTCTTTGAAGGCTTAGCTACTGGCTGAAAAAGTCTTAAATTAAAATATATTGGCATTTTGTTTCCACCCATTTGGTTCTAAGCTTTGCCCAACACTTGAATGTCCTTACCCACCAGAATTCCTGAAATTCTGTCCTGATCTGAAAGGGTTACCCCCCTTACCTCCAAGAATAAGCATTAAGCATCTTCTTTCAACCAATGTAGCTGCGTACATATTCACAGTCACTCTCCCACCAAACCCTAAAAGAAGGCCATGTATGCACAGATGTATGCCAGAAAAAACTCAGGTGCCTGTTTGCAATCCAAACTTGCTTTAGAAGTCAGAAGCCAAAACAAGAGAAGATCAACGGACAGGTCTGTATAAAGGTTTTTTTTTTATTGGGAGGAAAAGCAGGGGGAGAAGATGCAGATCGTAAAGTGCAGACAGTTCTTAAATAACAAAAAGTATGCCACAGTATGTATCCTGACAGAGACGAGCATCTCGCCCACCACCCCCTGTGAAAAAAAAAAAACTAGGTCGCTCCAGTTTCTGGTCTGCTGGAATGGCACAGCAGTGAAGAACTACAAGTGTCTGCTCCTCGGGCCTTGCTCAGATTATCATCTTCCACTATTGAAGCAGGCCTGAAATGGATGAGAGACCTTATGCACATGAAGGCAGGTGGACACCACGGCTTCCAAAATGACCTCACCCACCCACTCTCTACTAAAGAAAAATATGCTTTCTTTTTAATAGAAATGGCAGTATCACATCTTTGTGGTTTTGAGAGTGCAGACAGCATCTTCCAATGGCTGATTTACAGAGGAAAAAAGCTTTCAGCAGCCTTGATGACTAAAGAGACAGTCCCTTTTTAGAAAATAGCTCAGATGCTGGGAAATGTTTTGCAGCAGTCATTTCTCCTGCTGCCTTTGTCCTTTTGTTCATGCCTCTTTCTCTCCCATCACTACAAGTGGGAATCCCAGCTCTGCTGTTTAGCAAAAAGAGCAAGGATGAGTAAGGAAATGGATTGCAACAAAGGTAAGGCAGGAGAACTGAAAAGACTGACCTTGGATGGATGGATGGATGAATGGAGAAAGGAACACTCCCTGTGCCCTTCTGTAGCTATTGATTCTATTTTTCACATGTAAAATGTTACTTAGTAGCCTGAGAAAGACTATGAAGGTTGACAAAAGTATTCTTAGCACATGTCAGTACTGGCCGTCCTGAGATTTAAAATAAAAGGCTGGGTTGTCAATGACTTTTCTCTCTCTGGCTTTCTGTTGTTGCCCTGCCTGTGGGCTAAGTTATTGGCAGCTGCCCAGATCGGGATCGTGAGACAGGCTGTAAAGAGCATCCTTCCAGAGGACGGATTGCAAGGCACTTCTGTGTCATGCCTCGTTTCCTGGAGGTGATGGATGCTCACCTGCCTTCTGATGGGAGGGGAAAGGCAACAAGGAAGTTAAGAAGGTGACTTGCCCAAGATCATTGCCTGGCTTGACCAAATGAGGCTCTCCTGAACCATGTCACCATCACCGTCACCTCCCCACCAGACCAGAACATCCACTTTCCTGTTGCATCATCACCAGGAGCAAAATGGATCCATCGAGATAGCTGGCATGCCAGGCCTATATGAGGTACCCCTCTTAGGCCATTCAGAGAAAAAATATTCTGAGAACACACTTAAGAAAACAAAATCCTTGAAAGGACTTCCCTTCCCCCACCCGGCTTTTCCCAAGCTCCCTCCCTCCCCAGTTACCCAGACCCATTCTCAACAGCCTGTCTGTTGGTTAATCCTTCACTCCCTGGAGGGCGGGTGCTCTCCCTGTTGAAGGGCACCAAGTTCCTCAAAATCCTTCCGCAGTTTCCTTGAGGGATGAAAGGCGCTTGCATTGCTGTAGCCTTTCCCAAATGTGTCTCGATGCTTGAGAGGAGATCTCCTCAGGGATGGCGGCCTACTGACCCTTTATGTCTTCTTCATTTCCCACTCCTAGAAAGAAGGAAAGGCAACAGCTCTGAGAACTGCTACTTTGCAGAGTGGATGGCACGAAGCCCATGAGGCATGCTGAGGGGCATGAGTCCTGAATCCATGCAGGTTTTTTGGGACTGGATTAGGGTGGGGAACAAGTGGGAGTCCAGAGATTCCTGGACTGCAACTCCCATAATCCTCATAATTGGCTATGCTGACTGGGGGTAATGGTGTTGTGGTCTAAACAAGATTATGTATGGCCACACATTCTCCTTTATGGTACTAAATGAAGCTTCTTAGAAGGGAAAACCCAGTGAAACACTATAAAAGGACTACTTTTATACTGACTTGGTAAATTTTGTTTTTTACATTAGTTTTGGATCATGTACAGGAAAAATCTCCATATCTTTCCACAAAAATGGCTGATCTTTGCTTTCTGAATTTTTAAAATGTTTGTGAGAAGAAAAGATGTGACATTTAATGCCAGGAAACCCACATGCAAAGCGTTACGAAGCGAATGTGCTCAGTCTCATCTACTGCGTTCAAGGTTTTGGCAGTCATGCCCCCTCCAGATGTGTCAGAAAGCTAGGTAGGCACCTTGACCAGCCATGATGAGAGTTGTAATTTAACAGATCTGAAGGACACACAGGTAGGAAAGACACAGCTATGCTTCTTGCGATATATAGGACTGCACAGAATTTAGAAATACTTGAGAAAGGATTGGGTTTGCTGTTGGAGACCTGGAATGTTGTTTTGACTGTGGTGCAAGATCTGAACAATTAGGATCTGCACTGAAAGACAGGATGTTGTCTAGCATGCAACACACCCCTGATTACCAGGACCTATTTATACTGGTTCTGGTTTCTGAGCCACTGGCAAATTCTGTCATCATGCTTATTATTTTCTCACTCAGCATCAATGTGGGCAAGAATCTTAGTGAAAAAACAGATATTCCTGGAATCCCCTGTCCTCCTCTCTTTTAGTTCAAACAAGAGCTCAATAAAATTATTTAGATGTTTTTACATTAGCCTGAACCTTTGAGGAGTAGGCAACATGGACGGAGGGACTGCAGTACGAGCATTTGTCAACCAAGCGGGGCCTTCACCTTGGCCTTCTGGAGCACATTCCCTTTGTTGGCTGGGACAAGGGAGGGGCTTCGCTTCCTCATTTCTGCTGCACAGTTGACTGGGACCAAGGGCTCTGGAGGGTTTCCATTCGGCTGGATGGCCGTCTCCTGCAAGGAGAAAGAACACAAAAAAGAAATATATTTAAAGACATGGGCAAGATGCCTTGAGAAACCAGGTTACAAATTGTTGTTATGTGCCATCAAGTTGCCTTCGACTCATAGCGACCCTATGTTATGTGCCATCAAGTCGCCTCCGACTCATAGGACCCTATGAATGAGCGATCTCCAAAATGCCCTCTCCTCCCCAGCCCTGCTCAGCTCTTGTAAACTCAAGCCTGTGGACTTCCATTAGAGAGCCAGTCCATCTTGTATTTGGTCTTCCTCTTCTCCTGCTGCCTTCCACCTTTCTCAGCATTATTGTCTTCCCCAAAGAATCCAGCCTTCTCATGATCTGCCCAAAATCGGACAGTCTCAGCTTCGGTATTTTTGCCTCCAGAGATACAGTAGTTCAAGCTCGATAGTTCAGGTTACAAATTACCACTCCAAAAAGATTATTTGCATCGTAGCCAGTAATTTTCTGTATGGCCAGTGGAGTTACAGAAGGGAAGGGGGGGAATCTTGTGAGAAAGACTGCCTTTTCTCACATAAATCTGCCTGAGGATGAAGATAATCTCTGGAGACCATTCTAAAGCTCTCTGTGCTTTCTAAGTGTATGTTGGTGGCAACCAGGAAAAGGGTCTTCTCCATTGTGGGGCTTGGCCTTTGAAATGCTCTCTCCCCTCAAGGCAAGCTCACCTGGTGTCTGAGTAGGAGGCAAAAGACTTTTTGGGCTTAGCTAGGCAGCTCATTTGGAATAGGCTGGTGCGGGATAAATAGGGATGCTTAAAGTCAGGTAAGGGTACAATATGGTATGTGGTATGATCTTTGCATCCACATGGTCTATGCACTTCAAGCAACCCTGCTTGGACCACCTCCAAAAAGGAAAAGGAAAGGAAAGAAATCTCTCTCATTGCCTTTTTCTGACGCTTCTTGCTTCTGGGAGAAAGGTTTAATTTTAAAAAAAATCTAAAAAGTACAACACATAACACTACCATAATAGGCTTAAAAACAAACCAACCAAAAATCTTTGCTGCTTCTCTCTGCCCCTCCATGGAGGCCCAGAGGAAGGGAGTTTTTAATTCTGGGAATAGATAAGGGAAGCCCCCCAGAAATGTTAGGATACTTACACTTTACTATCCTCAGTCACTCAAGTGGTCACCCCCTTTCTCTGTTCACACAGGTCAGTAAAACATCAGTTTTCCTGGTGGCTCATTTCTAAGACAAAATCACTACCTCAACAACATTCAGTAGAAGGTTTATTTATTGGATTATTCTTGCTCTTGCTTTTCTGACTGAAGTAGTAGCCTCCTGCCCAATTTCCATTTGCTGTCCTTGAATATCTTTGTCATTTGCCTCCCTTACATGATCTAACCATTTCCAGCGACCTTTCTTTCCCCATCATCTACCAGGAGAAAGAAGGGTAGGAATCAAGTCACCTCAATAGTCGCCCTTTCCTGAGGTTTTGGGGAGCACTACCTTGTTAAAATCTGGGCTGAGCAGGTAGGTAAGAGGCTGCAGGTTAGCACCACCCATGGACTGGGATTTCCCTCGCCTGCTTTAGGTGCAGGAAAGAAAGCCCTACCGTACCACATCATTTCATTTTGCAGGAACATAAATAATATATTTTTAAACTCCTTAGCAGAGAATAGAAAATTCATTGTACAGTAATGGGTTAATTCAGACTTGAAAGCGTGCATCATTATAAGCAATACATTTTCATGACTTTCATGTGACCATTTTATGTTGAAATGGCCCTAACTTGAGGCCAAAGGAAAAAGAAGACTCCCCGCCCCTCTTTTACCTTGTTTTCTGCTTTGCTGGTCACAGTCAGTCCCAGAGCTGGCCCTCCTGCCAGCGACTGCTTCAGCCTGTCCTTCACCTCTGTCAGCTTAAGCTCTAGGTCCACACGCCGTGCCTCGTTGGCTTTGCATTGCTCTTCCAGGGCAGTGACACGCTGCTCTAACTCTTTGAGGTCTTTACCTGTTTTCCAGCACAGAAATGTGGAACAAAGTCTCAGTGAAATTCTTAACAACCCCTGATGATATCTGTGAAGATTCTCAGTCATTAAGGTGTAGGTATCTGGAAGTTGAGTCATGGCAACTGGACTTCTTTCTTGTTAGGTTGAAATGTTTCACTACTCATCTGACTGAAGAAGCTACGGTACTTGGTTGAGTAGCGAAACTTTTCAACCTAACCAGAAAGAAGTACAGTTGCCATGACTCAACTTCCAGAATGACTGATGATCTTGCAACTAGCATTCTAGGACTCAGGCATCATGACAGCTTTCAAAGATGTTGTTCCAAACCCAGAAAGCATGTCAAAGTACCAAAATAGACTCCACACCATGAGTCACTTAAGTGAGAAACCATGATATGTTGAAATAGCCCCAGTCTGATGCTACAGGAATAAATTAGGAGGGGGTGTCCCTCAGAAAGCAGGGAAAGACTTGTTCTCAACTGTCATGAAAAGCAGGACTGGATCTGATGAGCTTAATTTACAGGAGGGTCAGCTTGGGATAAAAATAAAATAAACTGTTGGACTTTAATTCTCAGCCAGTGCAGTAGAAAGTAAGGGATTCTGGGACTTTTAGACTAACAACATTTAGGGACCTAAGTTTGGGAATTACTATTGTAGATTGTAAGAGCAGTTGGACAACAGAACCATTTATCTAGGAGAACAATGGTCTTTCCCCTTACTGGAAGTCTTCATATAGATACTGGAGAGCTGGATGCTGTCAGTGTTCTAGTTCTCAATAGATGTCCTGTATTGTTGGCCTGGTATTCTCGAAACATTGCCTCTTAACAGCCCAGATGACTACAAGAAGCATTGGGGAGTAGAATAGACAGAGATCCTGTCCACCCCTAGACTTCTATTTCCTCTTGTGTCTGTGATGGTTGGGCTGGTATTCTCAGGGGACATCTATCAGTCTCACTGCCCTTCTTTTCCTGACTCTCTGAGGAGCAGATATGTTGCTGGCCATCTCCCATGTGCCTTTCAAGGACATGTGTCTTATGTAGTTAGAATTGGGGTTTAGCTTCTTTTATCTCGTACATAAGTTTTGCAGTAAAGATTAGTTGTTTCTTTTAACTGCTCCCACCTGCTTTATTGCACCATGTGCCTTTCAAGGACATGTGTCTTATCTAGTTAGAATTAGGGTTTAACTTCTTTTATCTCGTACATAAATTTTGCAGTAAAGATTAGTTGTTTAACTGCTCCCACCTGCTTTATTGCGGGTCTAACAGTCCACATGTCTACACAGTGCTTACTCTGCTACTGAGAGGGAACCTAAAAGGTGATCTCTCACACATGCTGTGAACATTCACAACATGTATGGCTCTTTCTGACTTTATGGTTCACTGCCCAGCACTTATAGTGTGGCTCCCGGTTTAGAAGATTGGCATAAGGAAGATAAAGGCTGAGGAGATTAGAGAAAGGTTGGAAGTTTCTGACAGCAAAAGAGAATCAAGCTCAATTTTATACTATACTGCTGATGATACGGTTGGGAAACAGGTCGTGTAAATATTCTGTACATCTTCTAACATTATTGTGTCCATGAATGACAAGAATGCTGTCATTCTGCAACATAAGTGACTAGATCTGGATTTTTCCAGCTTTTAGAGAATCAGCCACACAATATTGAAAGGTGAAATTCTTCTTCCAGTAGATGGTGCACTTGGGCTTTCCTCCACTGAGAAAGCTTGGCAACTGTGTTTTTTTCACCAATTTGCAGCTATGCTGAGTTGGCCGCACTTAGTAGAAAGATGCCAGGCACATATCCAGCATGGAATAGCATGTGCTGAGGCTAAGGAGTAAGACCCAAAGCCAAGCAGCAGATGTTGACATTGTGTGGAGGTGAACACGTTGCAACAAATGCCTTGCATCTTGGCCTTTTTCATCACCACTTAGACCCTTTTGTAGTTAGAAGTTCTAAAGGTAGGAGGCAAGATTTTCAGCAGAGGCAGCTGCAAGCAGCAGCTGGGAAATAATTAGTCCCTAATTTGTTAAAAACTTTAAAGCTTGCTGGCTAAAATCCTGTTGTTTTAACTGGCGTTGCAGGGGGAGTCTTTAATTTCCAAAAAATCACTGCTGGAGATGGTACCTATTAGAAACTGAAGACACCATGCCAGCCTGCAGCCCCCCACGGCTTCTCCACCCTAAAAGGGGATCCCAAAGGAGCCTCAGAACTTTTGAGTGGGGAGGAATTGGAAATATTTAATTTAAGAAAAATTGCCACAGCTGTCCTTCACACAAGGTTACACAACAGCATTTCAGCCGTTATTTTAATAGTTATTGACAATGACGTTACTTTTGATTAATGATGACTGTTTCTTGCTGCTTTAATTCATTGATAGCCAGTTTTAGTCACTCCAGATTGCATTCTTAATTAACTAGCCAGAATACTATTGCCAACAAACATATCCAGAAACTCTATCAGCACTTAGTTAATAAGTGACAATATCTTGCCAAGAATTATGCATTTTATCCTCGGCAAGAGGATTTATCAAAATAATTTTATAAAACACTCTTAATTCAATGCACACAATTTTTTTAAAAAAAGCAAAGCATCCTGCTTATATACCGCCCCATAGTGCTTCAAGCATTCTCTGGGCAGTTTACAAGTTCATTATGCAGACTACACATTGCTCCCCCCCCCCAAATTAATGATCTTTATAGGCAATATTAATACACTAGAATTAAAATTAATATTGGCCAACCCCCTGCTATATGCTCAATGCTATGCAGGCTTCACATTGCCCCCCCCCCAAAAAAATTTAATGATCTTTATAGGCAATATTAATGCACTAGAATTAAAAATAATATTGGCCTACCCCCTGCTACATGCTCAATGATGTGTTGGATTCAGCAGGTGAATACAACTCAGAAGTATCTACGCAAAGTGACTGGCAGTGCAGGAGAAAAGATCACAGAGATATGAAACCATGGGCCTTCCTGACCAAAAAAATATAGTAACTTCTGGATCTCTGTGTCCCTCCCAGCTCAGGCTCCTTCACCAGCTCCAGTCCAGATGACTGGCATTATTGCTTTCATTCTATGCATTGCAACTACAAAGATAATGGTGGGGATCTTGCAGAAGCTGGGAGAAGGAATATATTGTGATGCAAACACACACACACACACACCCAAACATTGTGCACAGGCAAAGTAAGAGTCACTTTTAAAATTCTACCCACTTTTGGACCTGGTCCCATCAAAGCAGTAACAAGGAATTCTGTTTCCCGAGGCAAAGGACAAGATGGCACCCTCCCCATTCCACTAATTGAAGTGAGCAAGTTTGGCAGATGAATCTCACATTAACACCAGCAACAGAACAGAGTCTTCTGACGTATGCAAGAGTTATAAGCCACTTTAGGAACCATGAGACAGGCTAAACTAAACTAAACTAAACAATATTCAGGGGAATAAAACAAAATAAAATATATTCAGGGGAAGAACAAGTGGGCAGGTGCCAGACGTCATGTCACTCTAGTCAGGGATAGGCTTGAACCCCGATTCCTGTCAGCTTCTGGCTCTGGCCACATTGCAGCCAGGATGGGGGCTCTTGGCAAGTTTCATCCAAGGAGACACAGACTTCAGTAGGTGAAAGGTTCTCCACATCTGCAGTAGGGGCTTACCTGAGCTGTTCTTCATGGCCTCTCGTAGCTCCCGCTTTTCTTTGCGCAGACCTGTAAGCTCATTCCGGATGGACGCCTTTTCTTTCTCCAATTTCTCCTTCTCAGTTAGGAACCTCCTGGCATCTTCTTCAGCCCGGTTCTTGCCATACTTGTAGTTGTTGGCATCTGGACACATGCAAAGAGATAACAGTATGGTCTTCCATTAAGGTGTCTCAGGTAGGAAGTGGTCCTACTTTGCTTTGGCAGGACAGAAGGATAAATGTAGGTTTGAGGTTAAGCAGTGCTAGTTCAGTGCAAGATCTAAAGTTAAACTAAGCTAAAATATAAGCAGAATGATACATATCCTCCTGGGGAATTCTTGGAACACATCACCCCTCTATTGCTGTCCCAATATGACTTATTATGCTGTCCTGTAAGTATACACACACACTTCTTATAAAACTGATTCAAACAGTATACAATTCACAAGATGCATCACTATTAGGGCATTTCCTGTGTTTTGGAACAACACATTTTTGCAGCTCAGACTTCACTTAAACCTGCACAGAAATCCAAGAGGGATTTAGCCAAGAACTCCTTTACAAGAATACAAACAAATGAACAAACAAAAAGAACATAATTAGCAAGTTAACATAAATCCATTTAGACAATACAATTAAAATATGTTGTAGTTCTTTAGGAGGTGCCCCCTCATGAACCTAAAAGACAGTGAGATTGCAATTTCCAGGAAGCACTGCAGCAGCTTCCTTTTCAAAAAACAAAACAACAACAAAAAACAAACAGTAATAAAAGAAAGCAAGGGGAGAGACAACTATGAAATTTTGGCCCTGGTCCAGGTGAATGAAATTTAAGTATCCATAAAGTGTTTGTAGGTGTGGGTCTATGGGCTGGAACTTTGAGAATTCTGCCTGTGGAATTCTTGGAAAATTCTGGGGTTTGGAGTCCAAACAATGAATGGAACCTCTCTATTCATTACCAAATCTGCCATCCCCCAGCAACAAGAACTAATATTTTTTTTCTCAAATATTTGCTAAATGTACCCATTCTTTGATTTGTTTTTAAGTTACAATATTTCAAATTTCAGATAAAATAACTGGGGGGGGGAATCAGGTTGATGAGTGTGTGTGAAATATTAATATTTATCAAAAGGAGGCATAGGTTAAAAAGTGTTGGGAAAGACTGATCCAGCTCAGTCCTCTGTCCACACAGACTGGCAATAGCTTTCCAGGATTTTAAAGAGGGACATTTCCCAGCCCTGCCTACAGATGCCAGGGACTGAACCTGGGAGTGTCTATGTGCAATGTCTGTACTCTGACCCTGAGCTTGGCCCTTCTCTTCCCAGTCGTTCTCTTATTTCTACCAGCAATTCCCCACAGAAAAACATCAGTTACTGCAAAAGAAAATGGCTGACATTGTACTTAAATCCCACTAGACAGGGCCTGCATACTTACATGCCTTTGTAGTCACAGGTACAGTATAAGCAATCCGTGCCCATTTGGAAGTGGAGCACCAAAAATAAGTAAGAGGCAGAAGCATGCCGTAGTTAAGCAAAGAGTGAGTGGTGCCTCATGTTAAGTAGTTGGGAATTGTTTTTCAGAATGGCAGGTCTGAGTTGATTCCCCGCTACCTCTCAACCTGTTTAATAAGGGAGCTAAGGCAAACCCTTGGTAGCTGGCTCATGCCCAAACCTACTTGAGGCATGTCGCTTGACTTTAACTTGTGGATCCACACGGCGGGATTTCTCACTGCAAGAAGAGCCATGGCGCTTCACCTGAGATCCCGAGGGCCTCCCTGGCTTTTCTGGCTGCATGCGGGAAACAGAGAGGCAGAACGAAATTGACATTTCAGATGACATCATGAAGGACATCACTGACCGGTGTGAGCAGCAGTTCCACTCCTCCCCCCCCCCAATAGCAGAAACTCAACCAAGTGCCTTTGCCTCAGAATTTTCTCCTTACTAATTGCCAAGCATATGTGGATCAGTGGAGGGTCATATGCTGATCTGAGAAAAGGGAGCTGTCAGGGAAAGTAGGAGGTGGGATAAGACAGGACTGTCTTCTGTTTTTTTAAGCTTTTTTTTTAAAAAATCTGCTTTCAAAAAAACATTACCTTTGAGTTTGGAAGTAATTCATTACAGGCAACCTGGTTACCTATAACCATTAAATTTTGTCAAACAAGCACTGTAATAGTCGGTTACTTTTAGGTAATACAGTACCTAACATGTAACACCTAAGTTACTTAAGTGTAATTGGTAACATCTACTTATATTCCAAATTTACTTTTAAAGGTAGTTTCAACACATTTTGAAAAGTATTTTCACAGGCATTTTTCAGGAATTATGCCTTTGTCTTATCAATGTAATTGAAGGACTCTTTGGTTTCATCTTTCCTATTTTTAAAATATATCCATAATGCAATATATGGACATGGACAGAAGCCAGGGAGTATTTCCCTATACAGTGGGCCCTCGACTTATGAATAGCGCTAGTTACAAACATTTCGGGTTACGAACCCGATCTCATCGCAAGTAGTAAACCCTACTTGCGAACGCAGATCGGGTTACGAACCCAAAAGGCAGGTAGAAAGGGCGGGAAATTTGAACTTCCTGCGCTTTCTCCCTGCCTTTTTGGCTTTGGAAGCAAGCTGGGCGGCTAGGGAGAAATTGGCTCCCTCCTTTTACCCGATGCTGAGTCCCCTTCGCGCTGGGCTGAGCTCAGCCAACGCAAAGGGGACTCAGCATCGG